CGATCATGACGGATGGCTTGCTCTTGTCGGTGTCATCGTACGCCCAGGATGTCTTGGCCTTTGCCTCCATGTTCTTGAACAAATGCGGGTTCCTGTCAGCGGTACCAAGATCTGCTCCGATAGGCATTGCTGCGCAGACCTTCGCATCCGTGGAGGAGAGGAACGAGATGATGCTCCAAAACAGTTTCCTCCGCGAGCGCTTCACCGAGGAGTATGAAAACAAGCTGTACAAGTGCGGCGTGCGGCTTGCTGTCTTCAACCAAGCCCTGCGGCAACTTGGCTCAGTATTTTGTGCCGTTCCGTTATGATTAAATTATTTATTAATTAGATAAAAATCCAAGGCGGTCGGAGGTGATGACCAACACTGCCCGGATGGATGCCGGGTTTGGGCACTTCATTACGCCACTCCCTGCCGACGGCCTTGAGATGGCGGCGCTGTACGGATCCAAGTCTTTGTGGGCGACCGATCAAGGCTATTTCTACTCCATCGGCCTGATCCCAGCGACGGTTTGCGCTTCGAAGAAGTTCGTCACTGAGACGAAGATGCCGTTCTGTGAGGTGATCAAGGGCGATCTGGACGAGACCATGGAGGACTTCCGCTTCTCGAAGAAGAGGGAGGTGACCTTCGCCTACCTGGGCGATGGGGACGACTTCGGGCTCTTCTTGGATGGCTACACTCTGGCGCCTGGGCGATTTTAAATAAAATAGTTTAGTATTAACTTGACTGATAACCTTCCATCCCAGGAACGCGTGATCCTGTGGAAGCGGGTGCCCTTGGTGATGAAGTTTCAGCGGCACCTGGATGCCATTGGCAGGCCGTACACGGTCACCCTCTGCCGGTGCGGTAAATGGGGGCGACAGGTCGACTTGGCCATGAAATACTCAGGCACCAGGAACCCTGATCAGTGAAGCCTGCTGACTGTTTCATTGCTGGCTGGCTTTGTTTTGCACAGGCGATCCCCAGGCCCCTAGGCTCCTAGGTTCTAAGGCTGGGATGTCTTGAGGAGCCATGATTTATATTAATGACAATAATACAAAAGTGATATGATTCATGTGTAAATGTATTATAGCTTTGTTTCACTCAAGTTCAAGGTTCCAAGGCTCCCAGGCTCCCAAGGCTCCTAGGCTTAGGATCTTGGCCGAACGCACAGGGGGACAAGCAGCTTGTGCCAATTCAAAGATTTCAAGCCAGCCAGCCACGACGGAATCCTGGCATTGTCCAGCTGGCCAGAATCCTGGCATGTGCAGAGCAACGTCAAGTCTAGTCGATGTTGCCTGCACCCTCCAGCCGTGCGGCCGACAGCGAGCGCACATGCAAAAACAATGCTTTCTTCAATCAGCTTGTCAAGTAAAACCCCCCAGCCCGATAAACCGCAGACCCCCCCCCCCCGCGGCAGGCGATCTTCATCCCGGCCCGGCTTGCCTGCTCAGGCCAGCGGGAATTCAGGCTTTTTTGAAGGGTATCCATAAACCCTAAACCCTAAACCCGTGGAGCCTTGCCTGCCTGTGCGAGTGTGAGCGTCGAAAACCCTAAACCCTAAACCCTAAACCTTACTCGCCGAGGCTCGGCAGCGGAATCCGCGCTGGAGCCGGAGGCGGGTTCGGGTTTGTAAGGACTTAGGCTTAGGGTTTAGGGTTTGTAAGGATTTAGTTAGGGTTTGTAAGGACTTAGGGTTTAGGGTTTAAGTAAGGATTTAGGGTTCAGGGTTTGCAAGGAGTTAGGGTGAAGGGTTTGTAAGGACTTAGGCTTAGGGTTTAGGGCTTGTAAGGAATTTAGGGTTTAGGGACTCGCGGAAGGTTCCATTAAGTTAATTCCAAAACCCTTAAAGCCCAAACCCTAGACCCTAAGTCCTTACAAACCCTAAACCCTAAGGCCTTACAAACCCTAAACCCTAAGCCTAAGTCCTTACAAACCCTTAACCCTAAGTCCTTGCAAACCCTGAACCCTAAATCCTTAAACCCTAAACCCTAAGTCCTTACAAACCCTTAACCCTAAGTCCTTGCAAGCCCTGAACCCTAAATCCTTACTTAAACCCTAAACCCTAAGTCCTTACAAACCCTAAACCCTAATTCCTTACAAACCCTAAACCCTAAGCCTACGTCCTTACAAACCCTTAACCCTAAGTCCTTGCAAACCCTGAACCCTAAATCCTTACTTAAACCCGTAACCCTAAGTCCTTACAAACCCTAAACCCTAAATCCTTACAAACCCTAAACCCTAAACCCTAAGTCCTTACAAACCCTAAACCCTAAATCCGATAAACCCTAAACCCTAAGTCCTTACAAACCCTAAACCCTAAATCCTTGCAAACCCTGAACCCTAAATCCTTACAAACCCTAAACCCTTACAAACCCTAAACCCTAAATCCTTACAAACCCTTAACCCTTTTGCTTCGGAGTTACCCTGCAATGCGGGCTTCGTCCTTGCTAGGTAGCCTTAAACCCTTAGCCCCGAAACCCTAAACCCCAATCCCCTAAACCCTAAACCCCTCTGCCATCGCATCAAAAAAACCCTAAACCCCTGTAAACCCTAAACCCTAAACCCCTAAACCCCTAAACCCTAAACCCCTAAACCCCTAAAACCCTACCCTAGACCCCTAGACCCCTAAACCCCTAAACCCCTAAACCCCTAAAACCCTAAACCCCTAAATCCCTAAACCCTTAAATCCCTAAATCCTAAACCGGAGTTCACACAAAGGCATGTCCCGTATCGGGCATCGCCGCGGGGCTCAGCCCTATGAACACGCTGCTCGAATTGGGACGAGCTAAGCGTGGTATGGCAACAACTCCACGGGGCAATCCTGGAGGCCATACGGCGAGTACAATTGCCTGCCGGTCGCGGCAAACTGGGGCTGCACATGGCAGCACGGCAACGCCACAGCCATGCGGTACTGGAAGTTCCAGACCACAAACGCATGGAGACTGCGCAGCGGCTGTGAGCCGGCGCTCCGGTCCACGGACCCTCAGAAGCGCGTACATGCGCGTATAGCGTGACAGAAACACATTGTCACGCACGCGTCACGCGTCCGCGAGGGCCCCTAGGCTCCAAGGCTCCAAGGCTCCGAAGGATTTTGTTTGGCAAACCCCTCACAAAAATGATTAAAGAGGTAGTGGCGGGGTTTAGCAACGTTTTTGTTGAAAGTAGGCCATAAATCGTCTAAACCCTAAACCCTGGACCCTATTAAATTCCAGACCCTAAACCCTTAAGATTATCACCATCTTACGGTACTCGGCTGCAGTCGATTCATTAAAATCCCTTTGAACGCCTATGACCCCGCCGTAAGCCTAACACCCTGCCCATAGCCCGCTCCCTAAAGCCTGGTACCCCTAAAATGCCCACTCCAGTAAAGGCTTCAACCCCTAACAGCCCCCATGAGGGTTTAGGGTTTAGGGTTAAAGTTTAATTTCAAAATTATTATTTTAAATTAAGTAACATTTAATTAAATAATAAGTTAAAATGAAAGTAAACCCTAAACCCCGTTCTTGATCGTCGATAATTGCTGAAACCCAGGTTACACTCGAAACCCTGGACACCAAACTACCTAAATCCTAAAGCCCCCTGTACCCCCTGTATTCCTTAAGCAAAGCACACACCAAAACTTGACAGGACCCTTCAATGCACCCGGATGACCCTTGGATGCAACGATCAGGCCAGGCACTGCATCTAAGGGTGTTTTGTGTGCATCCAAGGGTCATTGAGGGGTACTGGTCTGGTGGGATCATCGCCTTTGCTTCTGTCCCAGTGCCAGTCACTCGTCGCGAAGTTTGAAGTTGTCAGCAAGTGCATTCAACTTAAACGTTGCATTCAAGGCTCCAGGCACCAAGGCACCCAGGCTCTCAGGCTCCAAGGCCTAGTAGAGTGTGCATTTTGACCCTACCCACACAGTGTACGCTGCCGTTACGTCACTGTGGGCACCGTTGGCCGGGTGTCGGGCCGCAGGAACTCAGCCTTGAGGCCAACCTGCCAAGGCAGTGGCAGATGACAGCTGGGCCAATGGGCTAATGCGCCAGCTGGGGCAAAAATCTGGGCCAGGGATCCTGTTGTCCCGCCAGATTGTTCCTGCAATGAGGGGGAGGCTTTACTGCTGGGATCATCGGCTTTGCTTCTGTCCCAGTGCCAGTCACTCGTCGCGAAGTCTGAAGTTGTGCAAGTGCAGAATTCAAACTTTGCATTCAAGGCTCCAGGCCCCCAGGCCCCCAGGCGCCCAGGCTCTCAGGCTCTCAGGCTCCAAGCCCCTGAGGCTGCATGTCTACCAGCCCTCCGTGCGTCTCCAGGCACTTTGAGGCAGTGGCTGGATGGCTGGGGTTCGGGCTTTCAGAGTGCCACCGATGCCAGCACGTTTTGGTCTCGGGGCGACCAAGCTTCCACAAAGATTGATACAAGTCTTCAAACTCGTCATTGTTGTTCGTCGATGATAGTTGAAACCCAGGTTACACTCGAAACCCTCGTTACCAAACCACCTAAATCCTTAAAGCCCCCCTGTACACCCTGTAAATTCCTTAAGCAAAGCACACACCAAAACTTGACAGGACCCTTCAATGCACCCGGATGACCCTTGGATGCAACGATCAGGCCAGGCACTGCATCTAAGGGTGTTTTGTGTGCATCCAAGGGTCAATTGCTGAAACCCAGGTTACACTCGAAACCCTCGACACCAAGCCACCTTTATCCTAAACCCCACCCTGTACCACCTGTATTCCTTCAGCAAAGCACACACCAAAACTTGAAAGGACCCTTCAATGCACCCGGATGACCCTTGGATGCAACGATCAGGCCAGGCACTGCATCTAAGGGTGTTTTGTGTGCATCCAAGGGTCATTGAGGGGTACTGGTCTGGTGGGATCATCGCCGTTGCTTCTGTCCCAGTGCCAGTCACTCGTCGCGAAGTTTGAAGTTGTCAGCAAGTGCAGCAATTTAAACGTTACCGTTGCATTCAAGGCTCCAGGCACCCAGGCACCCAGGCTCTCAGGCTCCAAGGCCCAGTAGAGTCGCTGCCGCCATGATTCCAGGCACTTTGAGGCAGTGGCTGGACGGCTGGGGGTCCGGCTTTCAGAGTGCCACCGAGGCCAGCATCGGTGCCACTCATGCCCGTTTTGGTCTCGGGGCGGCCAAACTTCCACAAAGATTGTTGGTGGGAACTGATTGCAGTGGCATTGATGCACCGATCCATGGCCTTAGGGAGCTCGGCATCACGCACCAGCATTTGTTTGGGAGTGAGGTGGCTGCTGGTCCTCGGTCGGTTATCGAGGCTAATACCAAGCCCTCGGTACTGTTCCACAGTGTCCTGGATGCTGACAAGGCACCGTTCGTTCACCTGTACATTGCCGGCTTCAGCTGCAAGCCGTTCAGCCTGCTCCACAATAAGTCAAGGCTCCTCAAGGAAAAACAGGCTCAAATATTCTATGGGGTCGTTGCACGCATCCAACTTGTGCGGCCCTCGTGCTTCGTGCTGGAGAATGTGTCAGGCATCAAGCGTGTTTCTGCAAAGGTTCTGGCGGCACTCAGGTCCACAGGCTATCATGTCGAAATGATTTTGATGAACCCTGCCGAGCTACAGGAGCCCATCCAGAGGCCTAGGTACTACTTCATCGGGGTCCGGCAAGATGTGAGCCTCATCTCGCCAAAGGACATGTCGTGCTGGCTTCGTGAGGCTTGGGCGGAAGTCCTGGATGCAGTTGCTTCCGGAGACGCAGTCGATCTTTTGGATAGACTGCTACCGGCGAGCCACCCTGCTGTGGCACAGTACCAGGAAAGCCGCAAACGGAAGTGGTCGCAAGCTTCCAACCGTGGGTTCCCAGGCTCCCAGGCTCCAGGCTCCCATGCTCCAAAGTGGAAAGAATTGCACAAGATGTGCAAAGCTTCAATGCAGCAGGGCAGCCGGTTGAAGAGTGAGAGTCGGAGGCCTTGCACTGAGAGCGGAGTCGCCTGCTGCGCAGACACGTTGTTCCTGCATTTGCCGCGTGAGCGTGATGCCTGGGACATCATTTGCACAAAGCATGCAGGCAGTAAGGAGCTTGTCGCGGATGTATCCCAGAATGTGAACCGAGCCCGGGTGCGGACCGATGGCTCCCTGCCTACTGTTACACCTGGGGCCGTACTGGTATCCGCACGAGCTGGAAGGATCATTAGCCCGCTTGAAAAAGTCATGCTGCACGGTTTTCCAATTCACCGTATGGTTTTTCCCAGCAAAGTGACCGACAAGGAGCTCGCCAGCATGGGCGGCAACACGATGCATGTGCAGATTGTAGCCGTGGCAATGAAGTTTGCGCTTGCGTTGGTAAACTGGAGCCTGCCCAAAGCTTCCCGGCCGACAGCCTTGTGCAGCACCGTTGCTGCGCCAAGCATAACTGCTTCAGTTGTGCTCGGCGCAGCAGCGAAATGCCGCAAGCGCCATGGCAAGCCACGGAAGGCTCCCAAGGCGCGAAAGGCTGCATCGGCGCAGAAGCCTCCAAAGGCACCAAAGGCTCCAAAGGCTCAGAAGGCTGAAGGCATGTCAGCTTTGGCAAAGCGTTGGCAGAAAGTCTTGAGACCGCAGGCAGCAAAGAAGTGCTCGAGGAAGGGTGCCACGGCCACATTGGCGTCCCGTCTTGCCCATCGCTGGGCAAAGTAGTAGTCATTAATTCGTCATATTATGACGGAGAATGGCATGCGTTTTCTAATTTGGCCACTCGGAGTTGGCATCATAGACTGACTTAGGTGAGGCCGGGTGCAAAATTCGGGAAAGCCTGCTCCGAGCAGTACAGATTATTTGGACTGGGTCACCCTGCCGACTCCCAGTGAAACAAACCGCCGCAGTGTGCATAGGAGTTCGCAGTGTTGTGCCATTCGGGCTGCTTGACTCGGGGTAATACCCTCACGTCTGCCAGGCAGCTGCTCGCTGTCGGATCGAACGGGAAGCTGGAGGCGCGGTTCTCGGGTTAGTCGGAGTCGGTTGGACCAGTTGCAGAGTCTGATTCAGTTCCAGTCTTAGCACGGTTGCCACGGTTGCGTTTGCTTGTCATCGTAAGTGCTGCGCGGTCGCTTCAGGCTCCCAGGCTCAAGGCTCCAAGGCCCCCAGGATTTCAATGCCAGTGGGTAGCCGCACCCTGCGTGGTCTTGCCGCTCGGTTCGGACTACGCTCCCGGAAGCAGGACCGGACGCCGACAAAAAAAAGACGAGGTCCACAAGGATCCGTGCCTGCGGCCCCGAAGAAGCTTCGGCTCGAGTCCGGCGAAGGCCTGGCTCAGGAGGGCGACGACGACACCGGAAAGGGATGTGGCGATGTTGGTCTCGCGACTGAGAGCGATGCAGAGCATTTGGCTCGCCATCGTGGTGGCGACGAGAAATGCAGCCGATGCAAGCTGCCCGGTTCAGAAACCCTAATTTTAATTTAAATTATTATTTAATTTATAATTTTATTTAATATTTAAATAGAAATTTAAATCATAAATGGTCTTATTATTAATAGGGTTTCTGAACCGGGCAACTAGACATACTACATACATACATACTTACATGCCTGCCATGCATGCATACACATTACATGTCAATCTATTTTTTCATTTTGGTTCTTTATCATCTTGCTGTCGTGTTTCTCTCTCTCTCTCTCTCTCGGTGGCTCTCTCTCTCTCTCTCTCTCTCGTCTCTCTCTCTCTCTCTCTCTCTCTCTCTCTCTCTCTCTTTCTCTCGTTCTCTCTCTATCTCTCTCGCTCTCTCTCTCTCACTCTCTCTCTCTCTCTCTCTCTCTCTCTCTCTCTCTTTCTCGTGCTCTCCGTCTCTCTCTCTCTCTCTTTCTCTTTTTCTCTCTCTCTCTCTCTCTCTCTCTCTCTCTCTCTCTCTCTCTCTCTCTCTCTCTATCTCTCTCTCTCTCTCTCTCTCTCTCTCTCTCTCTCTCTCTGTTGGATCGTTATTGTTTGTGGCAGACTTGCTACTTGACTATGTTGCAGTTGCTGGTTGGTTCTTGCTTCCGGCATTCTCGACTTGATCTCGTCCGTTTGCATACAATCCCAACATGTCAGTCAGGTTCCTTCGCTTCCAGGAAGTTTGGAGCAAAGCCGGAAGCCTCACCCACACGTCTTGGGGCAAGCAGCAGCGGACAGTTTGGCTGGGCCAGAGACCAGCTCGCCGAGGAGGCGATTGGGGCATCGGCTGTCACTTTTGTGCACACTTGATGAATGTTTTGGCACAGAACCCAGCAGAGCGGAAGAGGTTGCAGTCCGGCCGAATTGTGCAGTGTAGTGCGAGCGGATAGCCCCTTTGTGATCAAATTAAGGCTGACCGTGACCAGCCCAACTTTCGCAGCCCTAAATGCCTAAGGCTGGGCAGTCGCCTCTCTACCAAGTGGGGTGCCTATGAGGTCCGATCAAGGACCGCATCATGTTGTCGTTGTCAGCTGTGATTTAAGGCATCAGTCGCAGACTTTGGCAGGAGTGCGATGCAGGCATGCTGCATACACGCTCACAGCAAGACCTTCGTTCACCAGGTGGCCACGAAGGTTTACCTAGCTCCTGACACGCCGATCTCACAGTGCTTGCCTTACAGCATCAAGCATCAGCACCTCTTCTCCGGCAACGTTCCTCAGCCGGCAGATTGGCTGCGAGCGTGGCGGGCGTGCCGGACAGCATCTTCTTTCAAAGGTGCCGTGAAATTCTATTCCACGGAAGACTTCGCTGCTGGCAGGAACACGAAGCTTGACAGTGTGAGCCAGGATGCAGCACTTTAAAAGGCCTAAGGTTTCAGATTGTTGACATTTTATTTTGGCACATTTAAATTTAAAATTGGACAAATAATTTAATTAATCATCTGAGGTCTCAAGAACATGATTCTTGTTATGCACTGGGCTGTCAAGAGTGTTCGCAAGCAGCGTCTCGAACAAGCCACCAGCATCAGCTTGTCCGTGGACGACCGCAAGGAGTATCGTTTGGTGAGGTACCGTTGCGATGTTCCACCGCGCACTGCCAAGCAGTCAGCGGCTCCAGGCTCCCAAGGTCCCCAAGGCTCCCAAGGCTCCCAAGGCTCGGAGGATGGCCCGCTTGTCGCCGATGGCTTGCTTGGGGTCTACAAGACAGGTGCCAGTGTTCCTGAAAACACATTGGAGGAGCACGATGCGGACAAGAGTCAGGTGATGGCAGACAGCATAGGCATAGTCATTGACAGGGCCTGTCAGGATCCGGAAGGCAAAACTGACGAGGAGTCCTGCAGCCGCTTGAAGCTGCACGTGCGGCACTTTGCAGCCGATCAGTGCACATCTGCCCGGAAGTGTGGAAGGTTGTTGGTCACTGGCGGCCAGTATCCTAACCTGGTCTGGGTAAGCCATGATCCTGCGCACCAGGTTCGTATTGCCTACCAGGACCCTCTTCACGCCATGCCCGAGTTCCAAGACCAGTGGGAGCGTTTGTTTGCTCCCGGCAAGGGCAAGCATGCGCTTATCCCGGACATCCAGAACTCAGAAGTCTGGAAGGCCAGGCTCATGGCGGCCCAGCAAGAGGTTCTCAGGCTCCATGGCTCCCAGGCTGGTGTGGAGAAGGTGATCCGAGCGTTGTCGTTCTCCCAACCTCGGTTTGACTCGTCGGCCACACCAATGCTGAAGTACTTGTGCATGATTCGTGCGATGGCGGTCTTATGTGCTATGCAGGCTGCTGACGAGTCTTGTCCTTATGTCAAACAAATTTTAAAATTATTAAACTTAATAATTATTATTTATTTTAATTTAATTATTGGGTATTAAATCTTAGTCTTAGTATGGATTGTATTAATGCATGTATGTGCGGATGTATGTATGTACGTAATTATTATTTTAATAAATTTAATAATAATAATAATAATAATTTAGATCAATAAATATTAATGACAATGATTAATAACTATTTAATAATATATTAACTTTTATTCAATAATAACTAAGTATGTAGTCTTAGTATTATGTATATGATATGTAGTATGTATGTATGTATGTATGTATGTATGTATGTATGTATTAATGCATGGTAATTCACTTTCAATGTGTAGTATCTAAATTGAATTGTATGTATGTATGTATGTATGGCATGTACGTATGTATGTATGTATGTATGTATGTATGTAATGTATTATATGAGTATGTATGTATGCATGTATGTATGTAGTATGTATTATGTAAGTAAAGCATGGATGTAAGTATGTATGCATGTACGTATGTATGTAGGTATGTATGTATGTATGTATGTAGTATGTATGTATGTATGTGTAGCGTTAAGAAATTTAAAGTATGTATGTGTGTATGTATTATGTATGTATGTATGTATGTGTATGTATGTATGTATGTATGTATGATACGTATGTATGTATGTATGTATGTATTATTGTATTGGCATTGTATGTATGTATGTATGTATGCATGTAGGTATTATTAGACATATTATTATTAACATAATACAATGTATGTATGTATGTATGTATAGTATGTATGTATGTAGTGTAGCACACACTTGTTTGTGCGAAGTGACAACTTCATATCTCACTGAAACACCGAATCGGTCAGGGGATTGACTCACCGATTCATGTCGAATGATTGTATACTCCGTGGCCATTTTGGCTCAAGCTGTTACGGCTTGAGCGAAATTTTGTTTCAGTCCCCTCGGATCACTCCTCGGTCATAGCCGCCCGGGCGGCCAGTACCCCGAGCACTACTACGACCGCTGCTGGCGGCCAGTACCTCGAGCACTACGGCTTCTCTGTCAGTTGTTGACAGTCTGAAGGAATCGCTCGAGGAATTCAGCCGCGAGCAAGTTCTCGAAGATTTTCAAGTCGAGAAACCCGAGGATGTGACGTGGGGAGCTTGGAACAAGCGACAATCCCGACAAATACGAAAGGCACTCGATCACATCGCCCAGTGTCAGACGGCGAACGACATTGTCAACCTTGCGGCGACTTTGCTGAAACCGCCCAACCTCGAGGCCTTCCTGTACCTGCACATCACCAACCGCGACGAGTCCGCGGAGCCGCTGACGGTGCCGTTCGAGATCGTCGAGGCTTCCCTACACCCCGACTCCGATCATGCACCCCTACCAGCTGACACCGATGCTGCTCTTCTTGTGCATGAGACCGATCTGCATAATCAGCATTTGGCAGACATTTTTCGTGATGATTTTGGCATGGAATTACATACTCCCGAACCCGCTGCCTCTAAAGCTCGAAAGCGGAACTTCGAAGGGCATCTCAAGCCCACTACCTCGATTACCATCGATTTGGACTAGCCAATTCGTAGCCATGGCACGTACCCGAGCCGACTCATGGTTCGATTTTCTCTGCGAGGGCACGTTGGTGAAGATGACGGCCCCTGTTCCTGAGTCGATGCTTAACGAGTACCCCGAAGTAGTCAGCGACACGGCCCAAGTACCCATCTCCGAGATACGACGACAGCTTTGTCCCCGCCTTCTCGAGAAGAAGAACTGTAACATGGCCAATTGTGGTTTTCTTCACCCCGATTTCCTGAACAAACAGTGGGTAGTGCCCAACCTCATATGCCACAAATGGTTCCAGGGATGCTGCGAGTACCACAATACGTGCTGGAATCAACATGGCCATACTTTCGACGAAGCTATGCGACAGGCTTTCGTCGTACAGCGACAGAATCGTCGAGGTGAACCACCTTACCATTACTCGTCGAAGAACGGAATCATCGAGCAGGTCAACCGAGCACAGGCTCGTGAGTGGATCATGGACTCGATGACCACTTTCCGTTCCGCCGAGATGCGCAAGTTCAACTTCGGCACAAACTTCCTTCGGTACTATGACTACGAATCCTGGGATAAATCCGAGGTTGCCCAACAACTACGACAAGAAATCGCGGATGGCCTGCATCGTCGAGGACGCTCTCCCCGCAGAGTTCGCGAGGACTCGAGACCTCCGGCGACCTGGGGACAACACCCCACTCCGACACGGGGAGCGATTTTCCCGACTTCGAGACCCCGATGGCCTACTTCAGCGGCTCCCTCGTCAGCCCCCTCTACAGCAGCGCCATCGACAGCACCTCCGGCGGCTTTCCCACCCGCGGCACCTTCGACTACGCCGACTCCGCCGACACCAAGGAGAACTTTCTTCCAGGTCAGCACGGATACGGACTCCGATGCACCCAGCTTCGGCCGTGAACCCCGAACTGCTTTCCGCCACGGCGATGGAGCAGCCAGGGGATCACAACGACCACTTTCTCCGGCGAGATTCCCGAAGAGATCCCCGTCGCCGGCGAAGAGATGGCTCGATTCTAAGACCCCGGTGATCGTCGAAATCCCGGATGAGATCGCCGCTTCGACACCGGCCACGACTCCGGCGGCCCCACCGACTACCACGACACCTCAGACGAGGCCGATGTCGCCAGATCCTTGGCACGAGGACGATGATTCCGCGACACCACCACCGACTCCTCCGATCGCGGTTACTACAGCCAACTCGGCGACATCGATGGAACCAAGGAGCTCTGGGCCGGTGGCCAATTCCGCGAGTGAATCCGAATGGATCAACCCATCATTTGGGGCTGCCGCTACTACGACTCTCGTGAGCGCCAAGACCAAGGCCATGCCCAAACGACCACACCCCGACGCCGACAGCTCTGCGGGGCTGGGAAGAGTCGTGCCTCCGAGATTCTCCGTCCACCCTGCTGTGGACTTGACACGAAATGACCCGAGGCAGGTCTTCGGGCCAGCTACCAACGAGTCGGGGGCGGCCTCTTCCTCGACTATCGCGACCTCCTTGGGGAATCCTTACACGAGTGTGCCGGTCGCGGTTCAGCCACAACCACCACGACAGTCATGCCTCGAGAGATTCCGAGTGCAGTGGCGCGACTCGCAGGTGGTGGAGAAGGGGCGCACTTCGATCGACGATGTCCGATCCAACGCACCGACATCACACGAGCCAGTGTTTGGCTTTCAAACACTGCGCCACTTCGACAACTTCCCGATGATGTCGGCGAATTTGCAAGCGATGACGCCGGTGGGTGGCCACAATGTCGCGATGTTGCCACCTGGCAATCACCCCTACTCCTCCTTCTCCTTCGACACCCCATGGGAGATCACGTACGATGGCATCATCTACATCGAACAGGTACTCCGATGCCCTACTTTCGGGAGCTACCTCACCCAATACGGCCTTTACATCGACCTCCCGATACACACCCCGCAAGACGATGTACTGCAGGAACGGGTGTTGCTCCTGGGTGTCCCGAATAACTTCGTGGAACCCCGGACTACCTTGATCTACTCGATGGTATGGCACAGCATCACCGCCTCTCTCTCCGACCTGGACCATACTTCGGTGGAAGCTCGGATGAACCGACTCCGAATTTGGTGCCACACGGCGAGGAATCTCAACACCTTCGCGGCGCAGATGCCATACTTCGAGCCCATGCAGACCTTCTTTCGGGAGCAGGCCTCGGCGATCCTTTCATGCACTTCGAATATGCTCTCACCGGCGATGCGAAGTGCCTTCGCCCAACACGAGCGAATGAGATCGATGATAGCCGCAGAGCCGCCGGCTTTCATCCTGCGATTCCGCGAGAATGCATGAGCCTTTACACGAGGCCTACCCGACCTTTAGGTCTCACGGTCTCCCCGTTTCCGCCTCGGCGATGTACGGGTGTTTCCGGGTCAGTGACCGTTTCGGTAGAAGGGGACTTCCGCCTCGGCGATGCGTCCACCTGACCCGTAGGTCCCGACCTCCCGAATGACTCGTTACACACGACGACAAGACCAAATGTGCTTGCTTGTAGGACATGTCACTCGGTTGCATCAGGCTCTACTAGTTGTAGTGGGGCCTGCTCTCTCCTTGGAGATTGCTTGGCTTCCGTAGACTTCGACCTCTCAAGCTCTACTCGTGTTACCCGAACCTCCCGATCCACCCGAAGTGATGGCACACTCTCGCCAGTCCCCGATTGAGTCGGATCCGATTGAACAGTTCCCCGAGACATCAGCGACTCAGCTCGATCCCATCGAGCAGTTTTCCCAAACGCCCGGCAGTAGCTCCGGAGCAGTTTTGCCGGCCGCTCGATACCTCGAGGGAGTCCACCCGGACACTGACGAGGGCCGAGCACTGAAATTACAACGAAGGCTCTACGATGACCATCACACCCAGGGAGCCTTGGAGGTCATCGCTTTCAGACGAGCCTCCGAACAGCTCGCGATGTCATCACTACGAAAGCAGTTCCCGAACTCGACAGACTCCGAGCTGGCGGCGATTTGGCGCCGACAACTTACCGGCGAGGAGGTCGACGAGAACGGCATGCCCATCGAGCTCATTGGTCGCGATGGGACATCGATCGAAGATCACCACAAACGCGATGTCGACCGAGTCGAGATGTACCTCAAGTACTTCAGCACTCCGGCCAACGACAAACTCCACGATGGATCCATCGATTGCACCTTTTGTGGTCTGCTGTTTCCGCCTTACTATCTCCTCTCGGTTAACCCCGACGGCCAGGACGACTGGCGCAACATCCATTACAGGTGTTGCTACCAGTGCGCAACCGGAGCCAACGAGGACTTCGTGTGGTACGCGGAGAACTCCGACCTGTCACCGGCCAAGATAGGACTACGAGGCAACCTTCGAGACCTTCCCTACAACCACAAGGACCGTCGACAGCTCTACGATCGCGACGACAACCACGAAGTCAAGCCGCCTGGGTGGCACATCGCGATCGAGCGAACGCATGGATTCTACTGCAAGGTCTTCTTCGACAACTACTGGGATACCGCGAAG